CTGTTGTGCGCGGCGGAAGCTTTCTTGTGCAACACGAATAATAACTCGAGATAAACCACAACCAATAAGCAAAAACACAATCACAGCAAGAACAAACGATTTACGTGGTTCGGCAAGTTGCCTACATCCACGGGGCAAGGAAGGGGGAGTTCTTATTATTAGAAATCAAGAGAATACAAATAGAGTTTCAAATCTCACCGATCAAACCCTAAAACAAAGCTCTAGATCTCTCTAAACTCTCCCACAATTGGATGCAACAATCCTCTCATAAAGACTGCTCAAAATCATCCTTTCCTTAACCCTAATCAATCAGGTTTAGGTTATATATCAAAATCCAAAAGGCCCAGCCCAAACAGACTGCGGTCGACCGACGGTCGACCGTGGTGGTCGACCGAACCATAAACCCGAGAGTAAAATCAATTACAGTCATCTGCGGTCGACCGCGACGGTCGACCGCCATCAGCTCCGAATCCCACTTGCCTTCGTGCACATTCGCGGTCGACCGCTTGTCTGCCTGGCTGATTCTTCAGCTGTTTCCTGTATTTCTTTAATTCTCCACATCGGCGAATGTTTCTACCAAAACTGAGCCAACACCAAATCATCCAATAGTCCCTCAACAATCAGGGAACCAAACTAGAGCTGAAATGAGATCTCCCCCCATCTGAATCAACAGATCAAACCGGCTGCATCTGAAAGACTGCCTACATATCCTCTTGCCCAAGGAATCAAACCGAACGTAGTTCACCCAAATGGCCTCCAAAGACCTCAGCACTGAAGGATGTTCAAAAGCTTCAAACAATGACCAAATTTCACTCCTGAAACAACTTTGGTCAACATATCTGCAGGGTTATCATTCGTGTAGACCTTCTCCAATATGACGTCTCCATCATCCAAAACGTCACGTACAAAGTGGAATCTGACGTCGATGTGTTTCGTGCGCGCATGATAAACCTTATTCTTCACCAAATAGATAGCCGACATGCTATCACAATATACTCGAATGGTCTCTTGTGTAATCCCCAAGTCCTCTAATAATCCACGCAACCATAAAGCCTCCTTAATAGCTTCAGTTACTGCCATATACTCTGCCTCCGTAGTAGAGAGAGCTACTGTGGACTGAAGCGTGCATCGCCAACATACAGGTGCACCTACAAATGTAAAAGCATAACCTGAAGTAGACCGGCGCTTGTCAAAATCTCCAGCATAATCTGAATCCACATATCCAATATAATCCTACCCATTCTTCTCATCCTTCTGGAATACTAAACCAACATCCATGGTGTCTCGAACATACCGTAGTATCCACTTCACGGCCTCCCAATAACCCTTCCCGGGGTTGTGCATGTATCTCGATACCATGCTCACGGCCTGTGACAAATCTGGCCTCGTACACACCATCGTATACATCAAGCTACCCACTGTATTGGCATATGGGACCTTCGACATATAGTCTCTGTCCTCAACTAAAACAGGTGACATCAACGCTGAAAGCTTGAAGTGGGGAGCCAATGGTGTGCTACATCAACGCTGAAAGCTTGAAGTGGGGAGCCAATGGTGTGCTAACTGCTTTTGCATTGCCATCAAAGCTGAATTTATGGTGTGCTAACTGCTTTTGCATTGCCATCAAAGCTGAATTTCTTCAACATCTTCTGCAAGTAGCTCTTGTGTGTAAGCTTCAAACTCCCTTTCACCATGTCTCTCTCGATCTCCATACCCAGTATCTTCTTTGCCTCTCCAATATCCTTCATCTCAAACTCGGATGATAGCTCCTCTTTCAGCTTTCGAATAGCCGAAGAATTCCTGGAAGCAATAAGCATATCGTCAACATATAAAAGCAAATATATGTGCTCATCATCCTGTAGCTTATGCATATAAACACATGGGTCATATGGGCTCTTTGTGTACCCTCGACCAATCATAAAACCGTCGAATCTCTTATACCACTGTTTTGGTGACTACTTCAAACCATAAAGTGACTTCTTCAGCTTACAAACTAAATTTTCCTTTCCTACAGCTTTGAATCCCAAGGGTTGTGTCATGTAGATCTCCTCATCTAAATCATCGTGTAGAAAGGTTGTCTTCACATCCATCTGGACTAAATCCAAATCCAACGGTGTCACCAGCGCCAATAAAATCTGTATCGACAAATGCTTTACCACGGGTGAAAATACCTCGTTGTAATTAATGCCTTCAAGCTGTGCATATCCCTTTGCAACCAATCTGGCTTTGAACGGAATGTCTCTAATAGAAGATCCCTCCTTCCTCGCATATACCCACTTGCAACCAATAGCTTTCTTACCCTTAGGTAGATGTGCAAGTGTCCAAGTGTCGTTCTTCTGAAGAGACCGCATCTCCTCCTCCATAGCTTCCCTCCACCTGATCGAATCGTGGCTAGACTCTGCCTCCCTGAATGTGGCTGGAATCATATCATCAACGACCTCCGCTGATAGTGCATATGCGACCATGACATCATTATACCTAGCTGGCCGACGAATCTCTCTCCTCGTTCTATCTGCTGCAATGGACCTCTAAACATGACCCTGTTCCTGAGTCCCATAATCCACTGTATCCTCTATCTACCCGGCTGTCATCTCATCTCCTCCCAGTGTCACCTCTGTAGGAGCCTCAATGGATACAGTGCTCTCTGGAGTGAGTAGAGTCACATCATCCTCTACCTGCTGCGATATCTCTCATGTCTGGTCTCCCTCCACCTGCTGAGGGGCTCGAGGCCTCATCATATACGCCTCGTCAAATGTGACATCTCTGCTAATAACTATCTTCTTATCCTGTGGATCCCATAACTTGAATCCTTTGACTCCATCTCTAAATCCTACAAAGATTGCTTTCCTCGCTCTCGGATTTAATTTACCATCACTGACATGATAATAAGCTGGACACCTGAATATCTGAAGCGACTCACTTTTCTCGCTCTCGGATTTAATTTACCATCACTGACATGATAATAAGCTGGACACCCGAATATCCGAAGCGACTCGTAGTCACTAGCCACCGAACCAAACCAACGCTCCAAAGGAGTCTTCCCGTCTATCGCAGTGCACGGCAACCTGTTCACGAGATGGCTCGCATAAACTAACGCCTCGGTCCAAAAGGATCTAGGCAATCCACTCTGCATCATCATACACCGCACCTTCTTCAGCAAGGTACGGTTCAATCTCTCAGCCACCCCGTTCTGTTGCGGTGTCTCTCGAACTGTGAAGTGTCTTCTAATGCCGTGATCCCGGCAAAACTGCAGAAACGGATCACTCTTGTACTCTCCACCATTATCTGAACGTAGAGTCTTCACCTTTCTACCTGTCTGCAACTCCACTTTCTTCTTCCACTCCACAAAAATATCCAGGACCTAATGTTTATGCTTCATAGGGTATACCTAATTTCTCCTGGAATAGTCATCAATGAAAGTGATAAAATAGTTAGCCCCACCAAGAGATGTGTTCTTGGAAGGACCCCAAACATCTGTGTGAATGTAATCCAATGTACCTCGGGTGTTGTGAACAGCGGTGCCAAACTTCACTCTTGTCTTCTTCCCAAGTACACAGTGCTCACATAGCTCCATCTTGCAGGTCTTAGCACCTTTTAATAGCCCCTGTTTCGCCAATGACTGTAGGGACTTATCACCTATGTGTCCAAGTCTCATGTGCCATAACGTGGTAGTGTCCTCCTCTGTAGTGATAGAAGCTGCCAGACCCCCTGTAACTGTCTTGCCCTTCAAGTAGTATAGGTTATTTTTCCTGACACATCGCATCACCACCATAGAACCCTTCGTGACCTTCACTGTAGCATCCTCTAAGATCACTAGATATCCTGCTGCCTCCAAAGTCCCAAGAGAGATGATGTTCTTCGTCAACTGCGGTACGAACCTCACTTCCTTCAACTCTCTCACTACACCGTTATGCATCCTAATTCGGAC